GCTAGCCGCGTGTGTGTGCCGCTTGCGGCTAGTGGTCACGCGCGCCATCACCAACAGGGCAGCACGAGTTCTTGCGCCCTTCAGTACGCGTCCTCGCACCCACTCCACCAGCACCACTCGGACTGGAAGACTGGACGCGAGGATTAGTTGTCTTTGATGAGTTCCTACCGTGGAACGAGCCTCGTCCTTCCATCAAACGATGCACTACGCTTCGCAAACGACTCGATTCTTTTTATCTTCTTACTAATATAAGAGATTGAAATTGAAACACACGCAAGCCTTTTACCACTTTCATTTACATTTTAAGATTAACGACAGACCGGTGCCCTGCCCTGGTCCATGAATCAAGCTACTCGAAAGCTATGAACGCATGCAAACGTTTCAATCGGAAATACATAAATAAATCGCATAAGCAGTTCTCAACAAACGTATTGAAATTCATCGACGCGCGGAGAACCGTGCCCCTTCATTCAGCAGCCATAACATTCGAGCAAAGGGAGTTTCAGAACTGTGCTGCCGGAAGTCGAGTGCGTTTCTGTGTATCTCATTAATTTTATTCCATATAATATGGGGACCTTGGTGGCGCTGATTAATGGAATCGCGCCACACTTTCAAAAGTACAACCCCTACGGTAGAACCGAGCCGAACGAGTCGAACCAGAATCTTTGATTTATCGCGGGAATAATCGAGATCTGCGAATCGAATTGCGTGAAAGTATTCAGAATAATTAATTATTATTGCTAAGATTTTTTTTCTTCGTTTAAATACAATTTAGGTAGATTTTTTACTTATTAAAACGAAATATACTCTTTTTAATGCAAAAAGCATTTTTCATTCGAGAGAAAAGTGAATCCACAAAATTCTAATCGGATTTCACGTACCACTATGTCCGCGTCTGTGTGTGTCGTTTCAGAACGTATTTGTCCACACGACGGTCTTACCCTCTGGCCTGAACCTACGACCCCAGGACCTCTCCCCTCTTAATTCTCTCCTACGTTAGCGAGGCCGGAAGGCTTCGCGGCCCTCTACCAAATAACGAGTCTCATTAATCCAATTAACCAGTAAATAATGGGATAGCATTTTCGTATTTACGAGAGAATAGTCGGAACCGGCTGGTAATGGAGTTTTGAGCTGACTATCAATATATTCTTGCCCGGCCGCGGCAGAACAAAGTGCGGGTCACTCGCTCACTTAGTTAACCCCTAGCGGCCGGGGCTTGCAGCCCCGGGGACATCAATTTCGTTTCCTTCTTGGCCCGGGAAAATCTGATTTTCGGCCAGCTTCTTTTCAACACGATTTCCACATCGAACTCTCTTCAGACTAAAGAAGATCCAGTGAAAAATTCAATCTGATTTTCATTAGGTGCCATCTTCTTATTTTCTCCATGTTCGGTATCCTCACATTTTGTTCCTTATGACAATCGGTACATCGTTATGACGAACGTCGATTTTTAATTAATCACCCCCGAGGTAGAAAGAGCGAAACCGAGAAACCATTTCAAAGCCAAAAACGCTCCGGTTCTTTAATGAAAATTGTTTACACCGTTAACGGCGATCTCGAAAGAGGAGAATTGCTTTTCCCTCGGAGCGCGAGTCAGCGAGGTTTGGGGGGGAGGGACCAGGGTGGTTACAAGCAGTACATTCGCTGCACGTTTTTCCTTTGGATCTGTGGAACGGTAAGGATATCCATTCGCGTTGGCAATAGAAATTACAACGGACCACGTAGCTAGTTCGCTCTCTCATCATTTGCATATTCGTTTGAAACAATATCCTGCTGCTCGAGGCTGTCGCTCTCTCTCTCTCTCTCTCGACAGCTCGGAGCTGTTCGACCGTTTCAATTAAAATAAGCATACGCTGGTAGGTAGCAGGAACCCCCTGTCGCGCCTCGACGCCCACCCTCACCGCCCTCTTTTCGTCGAGGAACGACGGGAAAAGAAGATACCCTCGGTATATTGCTCACCATCCGCGAGGACTGAATGCGAAAGTAGCTGTTGAAAAGTTGGGAATATTAATGTTTTCTTTTTCCGCTTCGATGGAAACATGGGCCTTGATCGGCGAATGATTTCCTCGCGGTGGATTAAATTAGCCCCATTGCCTTCTCTGCTTTTACTTTCGACCTTCTTTGTTATTGTAAACACTGAGAGGTTAGGTTAACCTAACCTAATGTTCCCTTGCTGTGAAACGAGAGGTTAGGAAAAACCTGAATAAAATCCGAAATACCAGCATCGAGCTATTTTTCACGAAGAATTACATCGGTATTTTACTATTAGGTCGAAAATAATTTCACCGAAATAAATACGATTCCAGACCGGATATACAAACGGCATAGTGAGCGGCCAATAAGAAGGGGGATGCAGAGTTACCCTCGGAAGTAAGGGTGGTATATATATATATATATAGGTATCGGTAAGAAGGGGGTGAGCGGTGAGAAGGGATGGTGGGGTGGTTGGAAGTCAGCTAATATTTTTAGACACCACCAACCCCTAGCCTCGGTTCCTCGATGCTCACCTCGCCACCCCTGCCACCCTAGCACGTGTATATATAAGATCCTTTAAATGGGAAATCGAAACGTTTCGGAGATAACTCTCCTCGGGTGAGAATGTATTCAAAATGGCTGCCACCACGGCTCCGAGCGTTATGGATGGGAAGGAGATGGCGGGTTACCCCTCTATGATGATACGAAACATATTCCACCCTTAAGAACCAGCAGCCTGCTCCCCCACGTCGGCTATAAAATAAAATTCATCGTCTTCGTCCCTTCGCGACGATTCTCGGTCGAACTAGAAGATGGCGGACCAGAATGCGCCTTTCCAGAGCTTTACTCTTCTCTTTTTTTCTTTTTCAAGAAGGCGTAGTCACGAAGGAGAATTTTAAATAAGATATTAGGGAAGTTCTTTATAAATTTTAGAATTCTTAAGCAGCTGTTTTTTTTTTGGTGGAAAATTCCTGACAGAAGTAAAAACACGGTGTGATAAATGTGAATTTTTAAAAAATCATTTTCTAATTGCATTTACTGCGAATATTGATGAAAGTAAAATAATTCATGGGAAGGTGAAAGTTCATTTCCATAGATAAGTTATAGCTGTCAGGAATGTAAATTCGAGCAACAGCAGCCATGATGGCTCGTCTATTCCAGATAACGCGGCTGTCGAACGAACTGATGCCTACTTCACCCCCGTGATGCATCGATTTTCACTGCGAAATCCGCCTCCCCCTTTCCCTCATCCACGATACAAAGTCGAGCAAGGAAAACGTTCCCGACCGAAGAAGCCTCAAACCAGCCCTCTTGTCGCTTATGGTAGAAAGAAACACGTGGGTGGTGGGTGAGTGGTCCCACCCAACCCCTAATACATCAAGCTGACATTCGTCTAACTACGTCTCTCCAGATTTATCGCGTTTACCAAGCGTGCTTAATATCGCGCAACGCCTTTTTCACGATGCCACATTCGAAGGGCTGTTTTCCACCTCGAACCCCGCCGGTGTCATTGTAGATCGTGTTGGAATGCAAGAAGCCCCGGTGTTATAAGCTCCCTTCCATTATTACCCTTACGGACGAGTCTGTCTTTCGGACGAACTGCATTCGACATGTGACACTTCTTTTCTACCTCTACCTCTTCCTTTCTACCTTTTCCTGTATGATGTTACATATTTTAACACGACGGATAAATGTAACGTCATCGATGCGATGACGCTTAAACTTCTTTCAACCACCCCTCAAAAATCCGACAGCATTTACACCATAAGCGTGTTCCAAGCTGTTAACCCGTAATACATCCCCTAATTCAAAACGGCGACGATACGATCGCGGCGTGGCAAAGTCCGGAGACGGATCCATTTATCCAGAAAATAATCCACAGATAGGATCGCAGGAATCTGCATCCGTGAACAGGAGATATTTATGAGATTTATGACGATTAGGTATTTATTCGAAGATGGATATCGAAAGGGGTGGCAGTGCTATCTGCAGACGTTTTCACGAAAGCTGCTCGTCACTGTGCGTTCATTTGTCTGCCTAGTGTCTCGGACAAGAAGCGAGGTTGGACAGCGAGGAAACAGTTAGAAACACGACACGGACCACGGATATTAATCGTCCTCACCCTTTCGGGTCGATCGTGAACCGTTTACTTGGTAATCTTTCCAATTGGAAACATGATTTTCAAAAATCATAATTAAATCGTCCGAAATTTTATCGATATAGGCTATGGACAGGATGTTAAAAGAAATAAGATATTTTTGAAATGTAGAAATTGTTATAAGCCGGTTGGGACTTTTCCCACGAGAGCAGATAGGCGTGTTAATGCAACACCATGCTCGTTATAATAATCTGCGAACGGAATGCACGTAGCCCTGTCGCTGGTCGTCGTTGGTAGCACTAGCGGTGCTATCTCGTGCACGGGATCAGGTCCGATGGGGGTGCTAGCTGTTTCGTAAGCCGGTTATCTAAATACCGTAAATAACAACAAGCCCCCCGTAGCTGGGCAAGGCTGCCCTAGCTAAGCTCACCCCTTTCTGCATCCCCTAGGATGCTTATAACGCGCCACTTTCACGTGCCTCAACGACTTTAACGATTCCTACGCGACCAACATAGCGGAATTACGATAATCTTCCCTTTCGCCATTTTCATGCTTTATACCTTCGATGCAACGGCTAGGGATATTTTAAGTTCACTAGCGTAACTTTAGGTTATGCGTATTTGATAGTACGAACTTATAACCTAACCTTATATCTTTTATACATTCACAGAGAAACGCACACGTTTGTATCTTTATCGTTGCCTGTACTTATGTTATCCCCACGCTGTCCCTTTATCTCTGTTAGTTGGTATAGTGCAGTTACTGTTCCCCTGGCTCAGAGGCTTCGCTATCTGGACCGGCGCGGTTTCAGACAATAGGCGGCAGAAGTATTGTGATAGGTGGGCTTTTCGCGGGATTAAAGGATCCCGTGTTATTACTCAACGTCAAAAAATCAAAGCCAGGGATGCGCTTGGATTAAGACGCTTACCTGACGTCGGATTATGTTTGCCGTTGTTTGGCGCGTGGCTGAAGCTTGCGGCATGCTTTGTGCGGCGTCGCTGTGGTCGCTTTGGAACCAGGAATTGTGGGCCGGCACCAATGTGTAATCCCCAGTGGAAACAGCTGTTGGAACTCGAACAAGAATCTCGAATCTGAAATTTGTTACAATAACGTGTCAGAATATTTCGATGAATCTTCACCTTAGAATCATTTCAAATGGATTAGCTTAAAGGAGGTTAAGTTACGCAAGACGAGTATAAACATAACCTCTCTGTATACCTAAAGAAAGCTAATCACAGTAGGGTATTTTATCGTTAGTTGGTAACGGAATTGAAGCTAAGAAACCGATTGCAAGCGTAAGGAGATTCTTTGTTCCCACAAGTGGGCCTACTTTTGTTGGGTATCGCACGGAACAAATAGAAGGACTTGAGGGCAGTCGGTGATCCGATAAACTGATAGATATCCGGCCGGCATCCACTATAATTAACGCTGACCCCGCGCGACCCGCCGGCAATTTCAGCAACCGGCCGATACGACGATCATAATAATCGCGGCTAAATCTTTCTGCTTGTCAATCAGCCGACTGACACACGACTCCGGTCTGCCCTGAAGCGTTTGCGTGTCCTCCGAGGATCGTTGCGCGCACGCCAGGCTACGTCGATGCTCGATCATTAGGCTCGTCCATGTTTCCTCTGTACCTCGCGTGCGATAGATCGATGCCCGTGGCGCGAGAGATCGAGCCAGGCCAGATGGACATCGAGCCACGTTGCCTTTCGATGCCCCTAATTATTTGGATTTGCGTACAAGCCAGGCATCGTTGGGACCAGAGGTCATCGAGCAGCCTTTCATTTATCCTGCTGACGTTGAACGTTCCAGGGAAAGGAGAAAAATTGTTAAAAGATGTTGTCCGTGGTACAACCACTCTTGGACGTCAGCGTCGAAGACGTGGCGATAATTAATAAACGATCGGATCGGCGAGTTAGAAATTGCTTGGGAAAATCGGCCATTGAAAGGGTAAGCATCGTGGTCACCCAAGAGAGAAGCGTTTCGACGTGGGTCATGTTGTTGGCGCGATGTTTATCGGGCAGGAAGACGCGGCTAAGGAAGCCGAACGAAATTCGAAGTCCATCGGACCGTGGAACCCCGATGCACCTGTTTGATCCGCGCTGATTAGTCTCATTTTTACGGCGCAGCGGCCGCATGTTCTACGCTCCCGGACACTTCCTACCTCGGAATCGTCCAAAATTGCGTAATTTCACGCATGCGGGCTGCCAGTAACTCGCCAGTCCAACGATATCTCAGCGATTAAACTGTTTAGAAACACGTGTAAGAGTTGTCGATCGCATCGCGCGTGAAACGCAAGCCAGAACCGACGCGACGCGACGCGACCCACGCTAATCTACCATCTACGACGCAGTTAACACAGCGAAGTTTCAATTATAATAATGCTCTTCAATTTGAATATTTTCCTAAATTCCTGAACGCCTAAACCTACTGGTACGCCGCCATATTGAAACATGGCAATATTTAGCAGTCTAACCTCACTTCCTAGATCTTATTAACACTTATTACACAAATAAAGTACACTAAATTATATAGATGGTGCAGTAGGTCTCATCTGACGAGGCCAGTGGCGTCGAACGGGTCCTTGGGAATACGTCCACTCCGAACTCCTTCTAAATGACGCCGATGCAGTTGATGACGCCGCTGCTACGTGTAGCAACGGACGCTGGGTCAGCAGATGTACCAAACTGACCGTCGCTTTCAGGGGAACAATAAAGTTTCATGCACGTTGTATCCCACTTGAGTGTCCTATTGTCGTTCGTGTGTATACAATATATCTGTATGTATGTATATACGAGCCGGTCAAGATATAATTGTCATTTTACCCACGAACCACTACGGGATGCACTTCAATTTTCTAGAGGACCATGAACTTCTACGGGACACGGTGAATCACGGTTGAAAGTGTTCTCGATCGATGGGGAATGTTTCAACGGGTCTAGCCCGTTCTCGTTTGCCTCGTGGAACATCCTAGTTTTTCGGTCGACTGTTACACAGATGTCTCAGATAACAGGCTAATTGCCAGCACGGAACATTTTTTTACCCTGATGAATCTTTTAAGATTTATCGATGCTTTATAACTATTAGTCCGCATATTTCATAAATCACAACTGAAGTAAAAGCAATGGATACGTGGAAGAAATCGGTCGTACCGATTGCAGAAGTCAATCAGCCCCTAGGGAGGATCATTAAATTCGAAATGTAAATCGCGAAGGGTGCGGCAAGTGGGCGCTAATATGCGCCAGATCCATTAATCATAACCCCGGGGATAGTGGTGAACCCTCCCCCTCGTGTCTGTGAGCCTTGCAAAACTGTGCAAGCGTTCAGAAGCAGAAACAGGTTAACGTTAGACACACCCCGTCGCTCGTTGAGGGACAGCCAGCATTGTTCATGGCGCTGCACTACCCTAAATATTAACAACGAGCGAACAGGGGTCAGTACAACCCTCGAAAAGTTTCCCCCGGGTTGCTCCCTTTCAGTTGTTCCTTCTCGCGAACATCCCAGTGCGGGCCGAGAGGGTGGTGGTGCTACTTGTAGGGCTTTACGAGAACGTTGGAATGCGAAAAGTTTAATCTTCCATCGAGAGAAATTTTTCACGGTTCCTCGGAAGGGATTCTGTGTGAATTTACTACTTTAATAAAATATTTTTAAAAAAGTTTCTTCGGTTAAAGCGAATGCTTATGATTATTGAACCGCCATTACACATTTTTCCCGCGCAAATAAATAACCTTATAAAAATTAATCTACTAAAACAACGACTAATTTTAATCGAATAAAGCAGAAGTTGATTGAAACCCGTTTCAATCTTCGACGAGGAAAAAGATCGGGAAGCAACGGAAAGATGAGGTCCAGGAGACGTCGGTGATCGGCTATCGGGAGAAGTGGTGAAACTGCAGCAATATGAAAGGCGACATCCCTAAATGGAGCAGTTGGTTGTGAAGGCAATATGTATCGTTCATGTGGCACGCGATTGCGCTCACAATGTGACTCCATATACGGTCCTCTACATGTGTTCCGGTCAGTGGTTCTTCTCCCTCTGGTCCAGGCTGCCTTTTCCGGCTGTCCGGAGCTGCATTCCTTATTCGATGCGCCTCTGTCCACGTGCACACTGCTCACCTGTCGGCCCCGGGAGAGAAACGCTCTGCCGCCGATAAAATATCGCCAATCCCCCGTTGCTGCAACTACAGCTGTCAGGAATAACAACCAGCCGATAGCAGAAAACGTTAGGCTACCGGGACGAGTCGCAAAATTCTAGCACTTAACCTAACCATCGGATGCTGCTACGCGCATACCACGCCAAACTCTACGTTTTAACTCGTATATTCACCTTTCACCGTGCGCACGAGTGAATCGGTCTTTTAGGTAATACGTAAGTTGGGTTAGAATTCATTTTTCATCACATTAACGCGAACCTAACCTATGCGTATCGACGCACAGTGGTAACGAATCGATACGGTCGGATGTATTTAGTAATTATTTAAGGAAAAAGGCATGCTCGCTCGATACCCCACGCAGCATCTGTTCTAGAGCACTAACAGGCCAGGTATGTGCATTAAAATGCAGCTTGCACAACGACGAAAACGTTGCAGTTGCAACGCTTCTACCTACTGCCACGAATTACGTGGATATTCCGTTTCCTGGTCAGCCAAGCCAAGAACAGTAAATGCAAATGCGATGGCTTCCCGCGTGGTTAATATTAATGAATGAATTTTCTCTTCGCGCCTTTGGCCGCGCGTCCTTAAATGTACACCTTAAAATATCGCGAACAGGGAATTTGATGCGGAAATTATTGCGGTTCCGTGCATAATTTTCCCGTTAGCGCAGCTCGCGCGTGTAACGAGAATTGCTTGAATTTATCGTCGGGGATCAACTGCCTTTTTTTTTTGTACGTCTTTCTTCTTTGTTACTTTTCAATGCTATTTGTTCTCTTCTGCAATTCTCTCTACACTTCTGTACACGAGTTTCTGTTTCTTTTCATTATAATTGGCTAGGGTAACGAGCTAGTTTGAATATGCATTTCCTAATAGCGATACTACTCTAAGTTATTAACTAATTAAAATTATCGTCGTGCTTTAATTAAATATAGGAAACAAAAAACACTCATCTCAATCCCAACGTGCGGAACGAACCGATTAACAGTGGTCTGCCGATCATCGCACGTTCCCTTGCCTCGTCGATAAAACAGAGAAAGGCTACCTGTCACCAGAGGGCCGTAGGTGCGGAGCAGCAGCTGTCGTTCGCGATGAAAATAATCGTAATAGAATTGTCAAAACGTATCAGTCCCGGTCCCGTTATTTTACGGGGGCTGAATCCGTGCCAGAAGTAGGAAGGGACTTGTTCGTGCCGGGTATCCACCGGTGAATCGTATCCCCTGGGGAATTACTCCGGGTATTATATTGAACTGGAAAGGACGCGGAGATAGGGGTCCGGGTGCAAATGGAGTGGCCCGGGCAGAATATGCTAGTGTCACGGGGACGCTTACTAATACCACGGATTATACCGGAGGATATCTGCACGGTATATCTTATTCGCGCGATCGCTTTAACGCGGCTGCATCTTTCCGCCTGTGGAATTAGCATACTGCGATAAAGCCCGGCCGGGCAGAAGAAACATGTAGATGAGCTTTGGGAGCGAGATGTGACACGGACGAGTAACGAGACTAGTACGATAACTACGTTTGCTGGAAAAATCTTAACAGCCAACGGATTCACCTTAACGCGTATCATATTTTAACGGATCAGAAATCTCGATAATTTTTTCCATTCAGATACGAAGTAGATGAAGAAAATCAAAGTGTTAATGTCATTGAAACGAATGGGAGTTTCGAATGTCCTTGGTCGAATATCTAAAAGAGAAAAGGGTGGAAAGTGCGAGAGTCGTCGATAAATCAGCAGCAGAGTTTTACCCGGCACCGATGACAAACACAATAAGTTCCAATTTCGGTCATTTATATACGCTACGCCCGGGATAATATGACGCCGGATCCTTTGTGCACGCAGGGTGAACGGAAGGAGGGGAAGTTGAACGGATACACACGAGTGACGTCACTTACAAGGACATAAATCAAAGCGAAGGACCAACGTCCCGA